GGCCAAACCGAATATTCACGGCTCCAAGGTCATGCTCTGTATTTGGTGGAACCAGCTCGGCATAGTGTATTATGAACTGTTAAAACCGACTGAAACAATCACAGGTGATCGGTATCGAATGCAATTGATGCGTTTGAGCCGAGCATTGAAAGACAAACGGCCGCAATACAACGAGAGATACGATAAAGTAATTTTGCAGCATGCTCGATCCCATGTTGCGAAAGTGGTCAAGACATACTTGGAAACGTTGAAATGGGAAGTCCTACCCCACCCGCCGTATTCTCCAGACGTTGCTCCCTCTGACTATCACTTGTTTCGATCAATGGCACGGCCTGGCTGACCAGCACTTCCAATCTTATGAAGAAATAAAAAATTGGATCGATTCGTGGATAGCCTCAAAAGATGACCAGTTTTTTCGATGTGGGATTCGTACGCCGAAAGATGGGAGAAAGTAATGGCTAGCGATGGACAATACTTTGAATCATAAATCTATAACCAGTTTTTTACAATAAAGCCTCGAATTTCGGAAAAAAAACGGCGGAAGCAAAATTGTACATCTAATATAATAAAAAAACAAACCAATTATCAGCCTTATTTCCAGCAAGCCTAGTGCAATGAATTCTAGATTGTTGTCCGGCACCTGTGCCTATCACTTGACCGTCTTTAGCATAACAAACAGAATTACTCTGTGTGTACTTTACAGTAATAGTGGCTACAATCAGGTCGCGAATAGCGTTTCCCGATAGCGTTTTCGATTTCGTCGTCACAATATTGTCGAATATCGGTTTGTTGATTACCGCATCATTACGTTTCTGCTCCATAACTAAACCGTACAGAGTTTTGCGTTCCATCGGGGATGGAACATAAGAAGGATCGATTTGAAGCACGCAATATGCGCCACCCTTTTTCTTCTTTAATATCTGAAGAGCCTCTTCCGAGTAGCCAGGTGCGATAATGCCGTCTGAGACTTCTCTAAAAGTTACAAAGAATCAATATAAATATTAATGTCAACATTATATTCATAGATAATTTATCATAGATTAATTATATATTATGTTATTATCATATTTGTAAAATATGTCAATATTGTATTAATATTATAATCATACATTAATATCATGTACCTTGATATGATCTTTGCCGTTATAACATCGCATGGCTCAGATAATGCAATGAAATCACCAAAACTGGACATTCGATCAGCACCTCTCGCACGAGCGTAAGCAGCCGCTAAAGGCGTAAGCTGATCGTGAAGATCATCTACTTGACACAACTTCGCTTGTATATTATCCAAGGGAACACCGACTGCGGCTCCAGCTGGGCTCACGTGTTTGAAGGAAGTAGCCGCTGGTAAATTCAGAGCAGACTTCAATTCCTTAACCAGTTGATAACCATTTAAGGCATCACAAAGATTGATGAAACCAGGTGATCCATTCAGCACAATTAACGGTAGCTTCTCAAGGGTAGTAAATATCTGCGCGGGTTTCTGATGCGGATTCATACCATAGCGAAGAGTAAGTTGAGAGACATCAGCACTGTACTGCTTGCGGAAGTAATCCGAGATAGAATTGTCATATTCAGCGGTATGAGTAAATGCTTTTAGAGCTAAAGTTTGCCTGAAATATATACATATACCCACACATATATATATATAT